TCCCTCAAATCTGCTTCCACTGGACAATCTCCCTTTCAGGTTAGTCTCGGTTATCAACCTCCACTTTTCCCCGCAGACGAGAGAGAGATTTCGGTCCAGTCAGTAAATCACCACATCAGACGCTGTCAGAAGATCTGGAGAGAAACCATCGCTACCCTCAACCGATCTTCTGAAACCAACAAACGCTTCGCTGACTCCAGAAGACGTCCCGCCCCCGAGTACACTGAAGGCCAAGAGGTATGGCTGTCCACTCGAGACATTCCCCTCAAGGGGATGTCTCGAAAACTCTTGCCCAAATTTATAGGTCCCTACAAGATCTCCCGAGTCATCAATCCATCAGCCGCCCGTCTCCAACTGCCTCAGTCCCTCCGGATTCACCCAACTTTCCACGTATCCCAAGTTAAACCTGTCATCTCGAGTTCTCTGTGCCCGCCTTCCGACTCCCCACCACCCGCCCTGGAGGTCGATGGTCATCCCGCCTTCACCGTTCGACGCATCGTGGACTCCCGTCGACGAGGTCGCGGCTGGCAGTACCTCGTCGACAGGGAGGGCTACGGACCGGAGGATCGCCAGTGGGTTCCGGGCTCGTACATCCTCGACCCTGCCCTAATCGAGGAGTACGAGCGTTCCTGCCCTTCGACCTCTTCCGGACCGCCAAGGGGCGGTCGTTGAGGGGGGGGTACTGTTGGGAGCTGGAGAAGTTCCACCTTTCTCCAGCAGAGTCTGCCGTGGATCCTTCTGAGTGAGCCTCCTGCACAGCTGCAGCCCATCAAGATCATCAGAGGATCCACTATATAAGCTGTCTTCAGACCTTGCCTCAACGCTGCAGTGTTGATCCAGTTGGTCAGCGCCTAAGCCTAGACTCTCAGTGTATCTTTGTGACTTTGAATCCAGCCTGGATTCTAACCGTTGTCTCTATCTTCCAGGAAACCTGTTTCTCCTCTGTGAAGCTCTGGAAGAGCTAACCTGCCGAGCCGACCCTCAGAGCCAAACCCGAAGAACCACAGTGAACTTCCATGCAGCTCAGGACTAAGAGCTGGAAAACCCAAAGCCAAGGTCTACTCAGAATTAGACGTAAGACGCTGAAGCAGCAAGCGGACTCTGCTGATCAACTCCTCTTCAGATCCAACAGTGACCCTCCCAAAGCTAACCTCAAGAACCCTCAAGGTACAATCAGTAATAATCAAGAAAGCAAGCTCCAACGTGCAACGCTAACTGAACTGTCTCTCACGCAGACTCCGGTGAACCAGTATCCAAGCCCGAACCAGAACCAGTATATTCAGTGTGCTTGTGTTCAAATAAACTTGTTGAACTTTTATTCCTGTGTCCTTCAGTGGTGTTCTGCATAATTGGGTCACTCTTAGAGTACCCATCATGACAAGAAAGCCACGGCCTTAGTCTTCCATTTTCTGATGAGCCAGTATATGGCACCATCTCCCAGATAACTGGAGATAATTTAGGAATGCACACAATTCTTGGTTTTAACGAATCTTTTAGTAGTCATTACTTTTGTCGGATTTGTTTAATAGAAAAAAGCAAATGTCAGACTGTCTACAGTGAGGATGATCCTGAGGTAATACTTAGAGGAAAGGAGACTTTTGAAATGCATTATAAATCTCTTGAAGAAAACCCACAGCTAAAGCCATTATATGGTTTAAAGAAAAAAATCTTCACTTAATTAATTGCGATATTTTCATGTTTCTGACAACCATTCATTTAATATAATGCATGATCTTCTTGAGGGTGTTGCTCAGTATCAGATCAAATTAGTTTTTGAATATCTTTACTCAAAACCTCTTTTGAAAACAAGACTTACTCTCCAGGATTTATAGTTTCGATTATGGCTATTTCGAAAGGAAAAACCGTCCCACAAAAATTATTTTGGAAACATCTGGAAATGGCATAGGTTTAAATTCTGTTTAGACATTGTGTCTTGTTTAAAATATTCCACTTTTGTTTGGGGACATTATTCCTAGAGGAGACAAAAACTGGTACATGCTACTGTTGGTACTGGAAATAATGAACATTGTCTTCTCTCCTATCCTTACTATAGGTATGAAAATATATTTGAAGCATTTGATTGTTGAGCACCACAGACTGTTTAAATTCTTATACCCGCATAGAAACTTGATACCTAATCATCATTTTATGATCCACTACCCATCTTCTATTAGGAAAATAGGCCCATTGTTACATATGTGGTCTATGAGGTTTGAAGCCAAACATAAAATGTTTAAAAATTATTTTAAAAACTTCAAAAATATAACAAAGTCCCTTGCTAAAAAGCATCAGATGGCCATAGCTCATCATTGGGAGACAATACCTATTGAACAAAATGAGCACGGGTCTGTTAAAAGAATAGTACACCCAAAACATGATTAGCCTTCATTTTCTACTCACCCCCATGCTGAACAACACTCTGGAGTACTTTTTTATTATCTCAAATGCATCTGGACATCTGGGAGGCTTCTTGCTGTCTGCTGACATTCAAATAATGGAGGTCTATGGTGACCGAGACAGAAAGGTCCATAAAAGTCCACAAAAAACATGTCAATATTCCTCAATACTGCTCGTCCAATGTATTCCAAGTGTCCTGAGTGGGTAGCATCCAGAATTTACTCGAAACGAAGTCATTTAGAACGTTTTTAGAGCATAAACAGTAGTGTATAGGATTTCCTAAAAGCGCGTTCACGAGTCTACGGAAACCGCGGCAGACCAAACCAGACGAAAGTGCGCATTCAGCGTCTGCTCTGCCGATAATGCAAACGTAGAAGAAGAAATGTGCTGTTTACCTGTGCAAAGAAAGAAAAAACAAAAGAAAAATGTCTGAGGACTTCAGTGTTGAGGAAGAGCATGAGTTCTTTGCCGAGCTGAATGCACACTTTTGTCTGGTTTGGTCTGCCGCGGTTTCCGTAGAGTCGTGAACTCGCATGTGCGAACTCCTTTCCATTAAAATCTTAAATAATAACTATTTAAAGGGTTTAACCATATTTCAAAAGGAACTTAAAAATTCACAATTAGCTGATGATACAGCTCTATTTCTAAAAGACAAATCTCAAATTGATCAAGCCTTACAATTGGTTGCTGATTTTCCTAGAGCTTCAGCTTTATATCTTAACATTAACAAATGTGAAATCTTGTGTCTTTATGGTACCAATTGTACAAACATATGTAATATCCAAGTAAAGAAAATGGTGAAATACCTAGGCATAGACATCACTAAAGATTCTTCTTCCAGACAGCAACTTCATTTCCTCCCCAGAATTAGAAAAACCCAAAATATCATGAATATGTGGCTTCAACGTGACCTTTCGATTTTTGGTAGAATCCTTTTATCTAAAGCCGAAGGCATTTCGAGACTGGTATATCCTGCCCTATCACTTTTTGTTGAAAATTCATCATCCAAAGAAATAAATAGAATTCTCAGCAAATTCACCTGGAAAAATAAGAAACCTCTTTTGAAGAATGAAATTCTCTCAGCACCCAGGATACAAGGAGGATTCGAATTAATAAATTTCAATGATTTGAATAACACCTTTAAAATAAAATTGATTGAGGAATGTCTTAAGAAACCTAATTCAATTAGTTTTTTTTATTCCTAATAATATTTTTTAAAAACTGGGTGGTCTGCACTCTTTACTCACCTGTAATTACAGTGTTACCAAATTACCTTTAAAACTATCCAAATTTCACCAACAAGCTCTCTTAGCATGGAAACTCTGCTACTCCCACAACTTTTCACCTCACAAAGCCTTAATTTGGAATAATGAAGATATTGGGAAAAAAAATCTATATTTTTACAGAACTGGGTTGATAAAAATATAATCTTTGTATGCGACCTTTTTGACTCTAATGGTATAATGCTAAGCTATGAAGATTTCCTTAGACTTAAATACTTTCCTGTCACATATAAAGAATTCAATTAGGTAACTAAGGCTATCCCTAGTGGCCTTTCTCTCCTGATCCGAAGTCATTGTCAGTACCTTGAAGCACTTAGAATAAAATCCCCTCTAATGGTTAACGGTTATGATGTAACAGACTCAAAATGCATCAACAAACATATACGTCATTGTTTTTACGAAAAGAGAATGATAAAACCACGAGGAGAAGCATTTTGGGATTACATCTTTATGGTAACTGACTGGAAGAAGCCCTGACTATTACCTTATAAATACTGTATATCTAATAAGATAAAAGAGATTCACATTAAAATTTTACACACTATATATCCGACAAATTTATATTTTTCTAAATTCTCAGATATTGAAAATAAATGCAGTTTTTTTAACATGGTACCAGAAACCTTACCTCATTTATTTTATCATTGTACTCAATCTACCATTTTCTGGACTCTTCTTGAACAATATATAATGTGTAAACTCAAAACAAACATTGTAATTGACCATAAAAGTGTAATATTTTATTTTGTCCATGGAGACATGAATGCTGCTTTTATTACAAATCTATTCATTTTGTATGGTAAATTTCATATACAAAAATGCAAACATTCCAAAACATCCCCTAACTTCAAATGTTTCTTGCTTCAATTTAAAGACTACATGAAAACCTTTACATTAATTGATTGTAAACAAAGCACCACATCCACAGATATTTTTGAAAGATTTTTCAAAAAAATAGTGTAAGTATACTCTTTTTCATTATTTTCTTTCCTTATTTATTTATTTTTTGTTATTAGAGCACCTGTCTAATGTTCTATGTAACAATATGTCTGTATGTTTGTACAAAATTTTTAATAAAGTTCTAAAAAAAAAAAAAAAAAAAAAAAAAAGCTGTTGTCAGGGATCGGGTAGCATTAGCAGCATTAGCTTAGCTTGTGTGTGGAGTCATTGTAGAGAGGCTGATAATCTGGGAGTGTTTGCAGTGAGAATGTTTTCAGTCCAGCTTCAAGGAGAGTTTATCACCGAGCAGTTAACTCCTGCTGAAGAAACATTCACGGAGTTTAAAGGGAGTTTGGTCAATTCGGAGGAAAAGATGGACGATCAACATCTACTGCTGGATTTCACCAGGATCCCCCAGATCATCTTACACCGGATAGGTAGGAAACACCTGATAGAAACGATTCCCTGATGATGCACACTGTGGATTTTAGCCTCATCTGATTGGAAAACTGATTAGAGAAAATCAACATGCTAAGCTAAAGATAACTTCCGGTTCGTAGTGGGTCCACGTTGTTATGCTAAAACATGTGGTAAAGTTAGTTTTAAGTTATATATTCGACAGAAATTTCCTCTGGTTAAACATCTTCTTCACTCCTGGTAAACTCTGATCAGAGAAAGCCGCTCTAACATTTCAAGACAGCGAGATAAAAACGGCTACATCATGTACGACCTCCTGTTTTCAAAATAAAAGTGTAGGCATAGCTCTCATTATTGATATCTATTCTATATATATATATATATATATATATATATATATATATATAAAAGGTATTTAGAGACCTTATGTGCAAAACTAAAAGGTGTATCCCATGAAACTAGAGCAGTACTGTGATCTCTTACAGATTTTGTGTCACTTCATCAGAAAGCCTGGAAACTATTGAACAAAATGGCCAATATTTACACATAAATATTATTTTAAAACTTTTCAGAGACTTGAAATGCAGACATTAAAAACGCGTTACTCTTGAACTAAATGGAGGACTATGACTGACTGAGTCAATTCATCACGTCCTGGAAACTCTCGTGCTATAATGCTGATTTCCGTATAAAAAAAATTATTTAAAAATAATTTGAGATTTGAAATGGAAAAATAAAAGGTGTAACTTTTGAAGAAGATGAAGCATAAATAAAATCCACCACTGATTTTTGAATCAGAGTACATTGACTCATTGACTTGAAGGTAATCCCTCACACTAAGCATGCTTGTAGTGACAGTAGAGAAGAAAACTCCCTTTTAACTGGAGGAAACCTCGAGCAGAACTGGGCTCAGTGTGAGCAGACATACAGAAAGAAGCAGGGAGAAAAAAGTTTGCCCAATCCTGGAAACATGCAGTTATTAACAGTAAGGGAAACTGGGCTACAATGAAAAACAGGCTCCAACATCTATAAACTAATGTAATGAGTGCGGCAGCACACAGTTTACATTTATCTCCGGGACGGTTTCACAGCCAGGAACCGACCAGATGAGAAAAAGCAGAGAGAGCATAAAATATTAAGTAGTACTAGGCCTGGGTAAAAAAATTTATTTAAAGAAATAATTTGAATTATTTGTTGCAGGGAATTTTTAAAGAAATTTAGTCTTTTTTAAAACGGCACATTGTTGGCTCCCCAGAGTTTCTAAAGCTGCAGTATTAGACCCCGTCCACACGAAGACAAACCCTGACCTAAACGCACAAATTTTTCACCAAACCAGCCTCTCATCCACACGAAGCCGGCGTTTCGGGGGTCTGTAAACGATCTTTTTTTTATTCAGCCTTCAGAGTGGGAAGATTCTGAAACGCCTTTTTCGCGTTTCCATCTTTACTCTCTAACCGCATATTTTTTTTTTACAAGCATGCGTCATAGCGTCGCCTCTAAACACGCATGCGCGACACATCACAACAACAATGGCGCCGTTGCTGCTCATGCTACTCACCCTGCTGTCGGGCTTACAACAGAATCTTCTTCTTCTGGAATATCTCCAGGAAGAACAGAGCACTATCGACGACATAGTTCAGCACCTGAATTTGACTTAACCACGAAAATGGACCCGCAGGGCAACCATGTATAAATATTAGTGCCATGCCCAACATTTCGTCGCTTATTTTTGCTTTGGCACCACAGCGCCACTTACAGGCCTGGCATACATTTTGCAGCGTTTTCATGCATTCGTGTGGACGATCACATTTATTTTACGTCTCCGTCTTTACGACAAACGTTCTGGAAAATATCAGCGTTTCGTGTTCGTTTTGACTTCATGTGGACGGGGCCTAAATCTCAGTTTATAGTTTGGCAAGCGACAGCATCACACGAAAAAAGGAAACCACATAATTACAGGTGAGGAGTTTGTAAAATCATCTGTTGTTGGGAATAAAGTTCTCCGGCATAGTGGCAGATTTCCGGCTTGCAGCAACTGTGGTTGTATTGGAAGAAAAGGGATTGTGTATTGAAATTCATATTTTAAAACTGGCAGAAAGGTTTCTCCCATTTTGATAGCTAACAAGCTAGCTAACAGAAGCACGGCTCTCAATAGCACAGCGTGGTGGTGATATGAAAAAGGGATCCCTATGTCCTCCAGCAGTCTAAGCCTATAGCAGCAATATATAGAGATAGCTCAGGATAACCTGAACCACTCTAACTATAAGCTTTATCAAAAAGGAAAGCTTTAAGCCTAGCCTTAAAAGTAGACAGGGTGTCTGCCTCACGAACTAAAACTGGTAGTTGGTTCCACAGGAGAGGAGCCTGATAACTAAAAGATCTGCCTCCCATTCTACTTTTAGAAATTCTAGGAACCACTAGTTAACCTGCAGATTGAGAGAGAAGTGCTATTTTAGGACCATAGAGAATGATCTGATGTCTAATATAAGATGGAATTTGGACATTTAAGGCTTTTGTAGGATTGTAATTTTCCGTTTTACCTTCTTACATTTCAAAATGACGAACAGGAGACTTGTTTTAACGCGTTATGACGGCTTGTTTGCAACGAAAACGGTAAAACAACCGTATAGCTCCGCCGTTCTACTTTATTTTTTTTTTACATATGTGTTCATGTTGCCATGACAACATGAACTTCCTGCCCACACTACGGAAGCCTAGATTATTGGCAACATATGTCTAACTCAAAGTTTACTAATAAACAAACAAATAAGAACAGACATATATCCTAAACTTAGAATAATAAATTCAACTTATACTTTCTATAAATGAGGCTTACAGCTTTATATGTTAGAGGGTGGTTTTTAAATTCTATCAATTCACTGACATCCTTTTACAGCTTTAAAGTAACAGTTCAGAGAGGGGAATCTAGCTATATTTAAGAAAAATCTCTAAATCTATATTCTAATTAATTCCTATAAAAATAGTTTTGCTCAATAGATAATGTGATGAGTTGACTCAAAATGGTTGCTATATAATATCCAGTGTTTCCCACAGGATTTTAGGAGACTGTGGTGGGAGAGTCTCTGACCCTCGGGGGTTTTCATGTGTGCACATTTTTAAGCGTGGTGTATCCCACTTAAAGGGGAACACTGTTTTTTTCACATTGGGCCCTTGATTTTACGTTATTACATCATGTTCTAATCACCCATATGAGTTTTGTGTCATTTGGAGCCGTTCTGAAGATATTCTGTTAGGTTATATCCAAGTAACGTCTTCTTACTACATCCCGCTCGCTCCCTGAGGGTAAACATGCTGTGGCTCTGACTGCAGCGCTGAGAGGGACTCCTGCTGAAGCGGGAGAGCGGGGTTGGGAAGGGGGAGGCGCCCCACGGCAGCTCCTGCCGCTGGAGGACAAGACTAGGAACGATACATGCTTTCACCTAAGATTCTCCAAACGCCGCCAGTGACACCAGAAAAGACGCTAGATTTGTCTCTAGTCGCTTTTTTGAAAAGAAGTCGCTGGAGGGGTCTGTACAGTTGCTAAATATAGCGACAAAGTAGAACCGCCACTGACACGCCTTGTCGTTTCAGAAGATCTGAAAGAATTCAGGGTGGATTAGTTTTTACTCCTGAGGAGGGAAAAGATTGAACTGGTGTTTTGTGATTGAAGTCAACATATTTTGTGTAGAATAACATGATGAGGTGAAGAAAGGCTAAAATGCTGCAGCTGCTGTTTCTAAGCGTCTGTAAAGCACTGGGACGTCCTCCATGCTGACTGTGTTTCAATTATCCAGTTATTAGCTCACCTTGAGAAGAACAAACTACCACAGTTCTTCAACCTCATGTAGGCCTGGATGATAAAGTGAATGTTTGGTATTTCCATTCCCCTTTAAGACGCTGCAGCGTGTGTCTAATAACGTGACTCCACCCATCCAATCAGAAGAAGCGTAAACAAAGAGAATGATGGATGAGTCCAGTGAAGCAGCGGCTACCACAGCTAGAAGCAAAACATCAGTTAATCCTGCAGAGCTGAGCGCGCAGAGACCAAGTTGAACGCATGGCAGACAGGTTTAGAGCAAAGGTTTGTGAGTTTAAACGATTAACATCGTTCACTCTACCACACTCGACACACAACCATGCTGTTGAATAGGGTTGAGTATCTGCATGAGTGTTGGGATATGATACTTTGGTCACAATACGATTTTGCAATATCACTTCATATTGCTTTATTTTTCCAAGCCATAAAAATTAAATGTATGGATAAAAAAGCAAGTGCTGTACAGTTCTATAATTAATGACAAACATGAAAAACACCCATTGTTTCCTCCAAACAGAAATTAATGGTGAAAAGAAGTCTGATTCTACAGAGTGAGACAATAGAGATAGAATGAGGAAAAAAGGGGTCCTTACACTGTAATAACTATCAGGGTGGTTTAACTTACAATTTTAAGTTCAGTTGCAGCCTTAAAAATATAAGTTGTCTCAACTTTGAGAAAAGATTTCATTCAACTAAGTAGGTAAGTTTGAAAAGTTTCCCAGTTGATAATAATTTATTGTTTCTACTTGATACACTGAGTTGAAATGACCAACTATATTACATTACTCATTCACCAAAACTCAGATTCTGTTTTCAAGTGAACTTTTACCAACATATCCTTTTAACTCAAATAATTCAGTTATACCAATTTTTCAATTATTGATTAATTGCCGTTTAAACTCAGCAACACAAGTAAAAACAACTGAAAACACTGCCTTATGTGTGAGTCAACTTGCTTTCTCTTTTCAAAGAAATAAGCAATTACATATTCTATTAAATCACTTTTTTATGTTAAAATAACACAATTCAAAATAAAATGCCTTTTCAAGTTACATTAACTCATGTTTTTAAGGCAGCAATTGAACTTAAAATTACAAATTAAATAGACTAATATTTTTAGATATTATCCCTTATGTTAATTAATAATGGCAAGTTCACCAACATCCCAAAAGACAACACTGAATGCACTTAGAACTCAAATGTTTTTAAACATTTATTTTCACAAATTGTGGTAACAAAGCTCAATAGATCAGAGACCACAAAAAACAGTTGCGGTTAAAAGTATCCACAATAAGCTCTGAAGTCCAACAGTGAAAGGTTTTAAGTTTTGAATTTGTTCATTTAAGAGCATTTCACATTAGATTTATTGTGGGGAGGGATCAGCTAGAACAGAGTACAGTTGAGATTAAATTTATTAGAGAAATGGTTTATAAACAGCTCTTTAAACCCAAGGGTGCATGAAGCTTTGCATAAATAAGATAATGCAAGTCTGCCTAAAGCAAATTACAGTTGAGACCATCACTTCGAAACCTGCCTAACAAAGTGAATATGGCTAGTATCTGCTTAAAGGAGAAGTTCACTTTTTAACACTTTAAGCCCATTTTCTGTAGTGTCCAGGATGAAATCGAATGATCGACACCAAAATTTTGACAATTGCTCCTGTCTCTGCTTTTTGGCTCATTTAGAATCACCCCCTGGCTGCTTCAGAATGGCTTGCATAGTGCATGTCCGATAATGTCCTTAAAACAACCTTAAACGTTCTTTTTTTAAAATATGCTACTCACCGGGTCGTCAGCGCTGTTCAATGACGTTCCAAAAAAAGTTTCGTAAAGAAAAAACGTTCCTGTAGTGTTTTATTTAGCATTTTGTAAATCCCATTGAGTTCTGCAGGAATAGTCAATATTCCGCTGCCACCGGAAACGGAAATGGGGCCTGTTTACACAGTTGTAGTCTTTTCGCTTCACTCTGTGTACTCCGACGTCGAGAATCAAGAATCCACCTTTCGTATTCCATTTTCAGAGTTTTTTAAAGTGTTTAACGTCGAGGTGCTAACGTCTCTGTTAAACACTTTAAAAAACATCTGATGGATCTTCTCCTGACATGTAGTGTGGCAGACCAAGCAGAGCAGCAGCCCTTCTCCTCTCGTTTGTGTCCTACAAGACATGATTACAAAAGACTTGTAGTAAGCATTGAACTTTTGCCTGAATTTCTTGTCATTCTCACTTCTACTTACATCTTTCTCAAGGCAGTCCAGAATGTCTTTGAGCGATTGCTTCTTTCCAGACTTTGCGACCAGGCCATCAAGTCCGCCAAGAAAGGATACCACAAGGTCTGTGGTAACGATCCTCTTAAATTCTGCCCTAATCTAAGGAAATATACAGGAAACAAAAACATATTTCTCAATAGCACAGTTAACATTGTCTAACATAACAGGATATAATATCTCTTGGAATTAATACATCATGTAATCACCTGTTTCTCTTGAAACAGAGCTGGCCATCGGGAAATTGTGATGTGAGGTTCATCTCCAATGATTTATTTTCTACGCTCAGAAAATGTATAAACCATCAGATCCTCTAGCAGCTGGTGATCAGGTCTTTCTTCTGCATTTCAGTCTCCATTATCTTGCACTTCTCCTCCATTCTTTCAGGATTTTGTCCTTCAGGTGGATCAGGACAGTAGTTTACCTCACCCTTCTTTGACTTCTTGACACATCTTCCCCTTGAACCTCAAGTTTTTCTTTTATTTATGGTAACTTCAGGGCATGCTGCTGCACTTAACTTTTGCCGGTAGTTTCCAAGCTTAAATTTCAGGCTGTGAAACCATGAGTACCATCCTTTCTCAGACCCTGGTTCACACAAACAGGGATGCTTCTCCACCAGTGTTTTGACTGCATTTACATAGTGCAACTAAGTAGACAGTGTGTCTGCCTCACGGACTAAAACTGGTAGTTGGTTCCACAGGAGAGGAGCCTCAAACTAAAAGATCTGCCTCCCATTCTACTTTTAGAAATTCTAGGAACCACTAGTAAACCTGCAGACTGAGAGGGAAGTGCTCTGTTAGGAACATGAAGGACAATCAGATCCAAGATGGAGCTGGGCAATTTAAAGGGGAACACTGTTTTTTTTTTTTTTTTTTTTTTACATTGGCCCCTTGATTTTAGTTATTACATCATGTTCTATTCACCCATATTAATTTTGTCATTTGAAGCCATTCCGAAGATATCAGTTTTGTAATCCAAGTAATGTCTTCCTATGGGCAACGACTTAAGCATTCATAACATGTTGGCGTATCACTGTACCCCAGACATCCACGGTTATATTTTTTTATATTTATATGTTTTTAAAACAAAGCGGACTGTGTATGACGTCTTCAGTGACACCAGAAAAGTCGCTAGATTTGTCTCTAGTCGTTTTTTTGAGAGTCGCTGTAGGGGTCTGAAAAGTCGCTAAATATAGCGACAAAGTCGCTGAGTTGGCAACACTGCACGGGCGAACCAGGCAGCTGGGGCGGCATTTTAATAAAGGAGGGCGGGACTTGCGCTTCCAAAAAAATATAACTGGCGCTAGGAGTGGGTTTCACCCTGGGGAGTAGAACTGCCAATGACCATCTGTCTCTCTGTGTCTATATAAGACTGTGGCGGCCCAAACAAGGCTGTGGCGGGCCGCCACATTAATGGGAAACACTGTTGTCTTAAGTCTAACAACTGAATTCTTGTCTCACTGTGATCTTTTTTTTTTTTACTGTACTTCATTTTCTGGTTCGAACAATTTTTACAGGGAAAAAAGCATAACCCTGTTACCCTGCTGATTGGGTCAGTTTTAGCAAGAAATTATGAAGGCTCTGTCATTTAGGCCTCTTTTCTCTTTCTTACTGCAATGCTTATTTTTAATACGATAGAGCAGAGAAATTTAATCAGAAAATCATTTAAAATCTGCTCAACCTCTGACACATTCGGCTGGGGTCTGTCTCTTCCAGGCAGAGGTGTACAGGAAGCGCTTCTGAGGCTAGGGTGACATATTACTCCCTCATTTGCCAGTCAGTCACTGTGGTGATGAATAGAATGTTTTATCTTTTTTTAATAATTATTTGTGGGGAAATAAATTTAGGCCAGAATGTACAGACTGAAATTTAATGTTATTTAACCACCAATAGAATGTCTTCCTCCTGTGTTTGCCTTTCAGACCGCCTTCAGGATTCTGTTGTAAAAGAGGAGGATTTCTCTGACCAGCAGCTCCATGAACAGGAGAGGAATCCCAGTTTGGACCAAGAGGAACCAGAACCCCTGCAGATAAAAGAAGAGCAGCAAGAACCAGAACATTCCTGGACAAAAGAGGAAACCATGGAGCTCCCTATAAGTGAGCAGGAAGAGCAGCTTGTTCTGAAGCAAGAGGCAGGAGATACAGGAGATAAACCTTTCCCTTGTTTGACATGTGAAGAAAACTTCCTTAAAGAAGAACATTTAATGGATCGCATGAGAACTCACACAGGTAAGATTTATGAATGTCTGTCCTGTGAAAAAATGTTCGCAAAGAAATCTAGACTTGATAGGCACTTTAGAATTCAAAGCCACCTACAAACCTCTTAAAAGCATTCCTGCATTATCCTTTGTCAGGATCATTTTCTCTTTCATTTTGATTAAACAAAGAATGTCTCCATGGCCTTTGTTACTGAAACTGTGGTCAATTCATGACACTTGATCAGCAATGTGCAAGAGCTTACACTGTGCGCAGAATTATTAATCAAGTTGTAATAAACTGTAATACTAGTTTTCACATTTTCACCTGGGCTGTTTCATACCAACGTTTAAGACTTAAGAGAAAGCTTGTTAACTAAACTCAAAGTTGCTAAGCTGTTACATTTATTTTTTTATTTTATTTATCCTTTATTTAACCAGGTAATACCCATTGAGATTAAAAATCTCTTTTGCAAGAGAGACCTGGCCAAAATAGGCATCAAAATTACATCACATAATTACATACGTACAAAGACACACACATAAAAGCCAAATATGCACTTATAATAAAATTTCAATTAAAACATTGATATATGAGGGAGTCCAACTTAAAACATCTCACTCTCAGCTAAAAAGTATTCAAAGGAACCAATTTACTAAGTTTCAAGTTATTTTGCAGCAAATTTCATGTAAAGGGAGCAGAGTAAGCAAAGGCCTTTTTACCCAGCTCAGGACAGAAAACAAGACAACAGCCTGAGAACGGAGAGAGTAATGACTAGTACTTTTTTTCATAAGAAGTGAACATAAATAAGATGGAAGCGCACCAAGAATAGCCTTATATAAATATATACCAATGACAAAGCCTCCGTGTAGCCAAGGCAGACCACCCTACACGAGAATACAGCTCACAGTGATGGGTGCGAGCTTTACAATTAGTAATAAATCGCAATGATGCGTGATAGGCTGCGTCAATCATTGAGCAGATGAACGCATATATAACATATCACCATAGTCCAGCACAGTTAAAAAAGTGGATGCCACCAACCGTTTTTTTTTACATTAAAAGAAAAGCACAGCTTATTTCGAAAATAAAAACCCAATTTTAGTCTCAACTTTCTCACTAGACAGTGAACATGAGGCTTAAATGATAGGTGGTCATCAATGACAATACCAAGATACTCAAAAGTTGTAACAATCTGTATTTCACATCCATCAGGAGTAACCACTGAAGGAACATTCAGTGGCCTGTTCCGAAGGTCTGTGAAAAGTAAACATTTAGTTTTGTCTGCATTAAGCACAAGTTTCAACTGTAGCAAAGTATTTTGGACCACATTAAAAGCATTCTGTAAGTGCGCAATGGCTTGTTTAAGAGAAGGCGCACAGCAGTAAATAACTCTATCATCTGCATAAAAATGAAAATTTGCATCAGACACATGCCGATTAAGATCATTTATATAAATACTAGGGGTGGGACGCGATTAAAATTTTTAATCGCGATTAATCGCATGACTGTGAAATTAATTAATCGAATTAATCGCATTTTAATCGCATACTTGGAAACAGCAGGAAGTAACTTTTTCCACATGGATTTTGAATGACAACACATAAGCTTAATAAACAAAATATTGTTTGTTTATTTTCTTTAAAGAAATATCAACATGCCAGTGCAAATTTTAAAGTTCAACATATTTAGGAACACTAAACTCAGAATTCAGGTAGCTCTATAGGTATAGGTAGAGCTTAATACTGCTTTTTAAATGCAAAAATGCAATACTCTCAAGTACATTCAGAACAAAAAGCCTCTGAGGCTTTAACACAATTCGTGGATTTATCAACAGTTCAACTGTTTACAAAAAATAAGTCAGAAATAAAATGAAATTCAGTCCAACTCTTTATAACATTGGCCATTCAGACAGTTCAGTTCAACATAAAGTGACAGTGAGTGACCTCCATTTTTTCCCATTTGAAACACAACTGGCCTCAGGATACTCATTTAACTTATTACTTCCTCTCTTTCAGCCAGTTGCTGAGACATACTAGCCTGTTCACATTTTCGGAGCTCAGGGCTGCCCTCTTCTTTTGAACTATATTACCTGCCAGGGAGAATAATCTTTCGCAGGGTACCGAAGTGGCAGGGCTGCCTAGATACTTGCGGGCCAGGACAGAGAGCTGTGGATGGGCTCTCTCATGAGTGGACCACCACTGCAGTGTGCAGTCTCTCTCACTGATGGTAGGCTCTGCCTTGTAGCGGGCCACGGCTCCTTTGGGCCCATCTTCCTCCTCTGATTCAGAGTCGGAATTATACAGCAGGAGGCTCCTCTTCCTTGCTGGCTCCTCTGTGCGTTCCGGAGTGGCTCTGCCTGGTTGTTGTTGCACCAGTGCCTCGATGCTGGTCCACACCTCTCCTCGCTCTCCTCTTGGTAGACACTTTAGGTCCTTAAGATCAGAATAAGAATCAGAATCAGGTTTGTGGTCACATTAATCAGAGATTTACAAAGTACAAGCTGGATGAAATTCATTAGTATACATGGTTTCCATCATCCAGAATCTCCTCTACTGGTTGTGCCTATGGTCATCTTGTTTTAAAAAGAAATAAAAAATAGCATTATTCTCATCTGCCTTTGGTAATAGTTGGTTAATTATCTTCAATCCATAAAACAACATGGATTATTTTTTTCTGTTTTCATTTTTTTTACTCTTTAGCACATTGAATGACAATTATGTATGATAATGTGCTATACAAGTCATGTTGATGTTGTTATTCCATAAGAGAGGGGAGGGGGCCGAGGAAATAAAAGGGTCATAAGCAATAAAAGAGAAAAATAAAGAAGACCATTACACACCTTAAAGCGAGGGTCGAGTGCTGTAGCCACTTGTAGAAATCTGTGATTTAGGGCATCCTCACGCTGAGACAGGTCCTTTTCAAAAGCAGCCTTGAACTTCACCACATAGGCTGGGTCATCATCTGAGGCCTTCATGGTGCGGGTCAGGTGGCGGAGAGCAGGCAACACAACTGAGCATGACACATAATTCTCACCCCCAAGGAGCTCTGTCACGTCTCTGCAGAGGATAGTTAATCACGCAATCAATATCATTTATATAGCAAATTTTACACTACTGTCATTCAATGTGCTAAAGAGCAGAGAAAGACAAGAAAGAATGGTATTGCAATTGTCAACTCTACAGGTAAATAAAGCATGGATTAATTTCTGCAAACTCTGTTTACATACAGCATTTTTAATTTATGCAACGTTCCTTGGTGCCAAAACGTTGATTACAGTGACACATTATTTTGCCATTTAATATTGGATTAAAAACTGTATACTGTAGTCATAGTGATATTAATATTATTCAGTACAATACATTTTGGAAAGGCAATTTAAATTATACAGGACTCTCATAGTCAAGTCATAACGTTTTTAATCCAATTAATGAACGTTGATGAGTATTTACCTGCATGGGGAAAGTAGGGTTTCGAGCCTCTGCAGTCTGTCCCATTCTGCTGCATTCAACATGGTGAGCTTGTGCTTCTGTTTGGCGAGCGTAGCCTTAACAGCATCTTGTTTTTTCAGCAGACGAGAGACCATCAACAGGGTGGAATTCCACCTAGTGGCTCGTTGTCTTGGCCCAGTTGTGTTTGTTCGTTGTGCAGTTCCTCTGTGTTTGAGGGGCTGTGTTTAAAATGCCCAACTATCTTACGACATCTCGCCAGTGTGGCTGTGAACCCGCTGTCACTAAGACAAACTGTGATCGTCCTCTGTACCATGTGAGCAATACACGGCATGTGCTGAAATGTGAGCTGTGTCATTGGTACGGGCACTATCTGTTCCGATTGTGGTGACTTTCTGTGTGATTTCCCAGGCCTCCGTCACAGACTCAAAATCTTCTGCCACGTTTTCAGCAAAGTGCCTCGTGGTTATCTTCTTGATGGTTAAGGCAAACGAGTGAAGGCGCCACTTGTTGTCAATAATATGGCAAGCCGAAAGGACCAATAATCGTCCGTACAATAACGCGCGGTTCCAACCCGTATTTTACGCGAGCGCGCGTTTTTTACGTCACCGCGCGTTTCCAGCCAGAACGCGCGGTGCCGTAAAAACCGCGCGCTCGCGTAAAATACGTGCGGTGGCGTTAATAACGTTTGGTGGCGTTTTTTGTGCTCAGCCACTAGATTTAAAGGCGTTTTACCCAATAAGAACACTGCAGCACCAGACACAACCAGGAGATCCCTGATCTTTGGGGAAAGGCAGAAAGAAGATGCACCTTCCTTTCTGATCCTGTCTAAATCCTGTTGATTTCAATAATATTGTTTGATATTACACAGAACTCACTCTGCTTATTCTCCCTACTTATGCCCTTGGTGCAGAAGATAAATTAAATCTTTAACAGAAATGTTATTATTAATTCTGAAAATATTATCATGTGAATATAAATACAAAGCATACAAAAAAATGCAGCTTTATTAAGTGACCTGGTTTATTTTATTTAGCTTTTAATTTCTTTTCAACATTTAGTTCTAGTACTTGGCTTGTGCTTTGGTAGTTTCATGTTTAAAATGACAAGAAATATGAAAAAGCTTATGGTCGTCAAGTTGTACTTACTCTCATATGACAGTAGATGGCAGTGAAAGCCCAAATTCATGAGATTAAATGTTTGAAGACCATTTTTAAACGTCTGTCTACCACTTTTTTGTGATTTGAATCATCAGTGGCCGGTTTAAACATATTAAATTTCCAAGAATGCAAAGTGAGCATGAAACTATACCATTTTCCAGGGAATAAACAGTATAATGTGATGCTATGCTTCATTTTTTTTTTGTCTGTATGTACTGTTTTATTATCTTCGTGTCTTTCTTTAAATGCCTCAGTACTACTGTTTGTATTATAACCTATTTTTACAGACTGTAAGTTAGTCTAACAAAGCTTAGCCAGAATCCTGAATTAAATTGTCACACAAAATACTGTATGGCTTGCTGATATTCAAAAAATACAAATTCAAACTAATCTAAGTTTTACAAGTTGACAAGGACTAAGCACT